ATATATGCAATCTCTGCTATCTTTCACCATACCCCTTCCTGTGTTTCCACTAGTTACCACAGCCACAAAGATACAATTGGCTATATCGTAAAAATTCATGAAAACTACAATCTAACTTTTGGTCTTCTTTTAACGTTATGGTTATTCATAAGGTTAGCAGTGTGGTTAAGGTTAGGGTTAGGTTTAAAATCAGATTGTAAGAATATCAATTGTATAAATGGGCGGGGTATATTACTTTGTAGCTGTGGTAACTAGTTACGACCCCACTTCCTGTACCCGGTTGAGGAAGTGAATTCGCTGACAGGGCTGGGTTCCGTGAGGGAGGCGAAAAGAAACACAATTTACCTGGTGGGGATAAAAACAACAATAGTATAGAAGAACAAGTTGTGCAAGCACAATAAAACGCACGTGTAAAGCTATCGGTGAAAGCATATTTCCCCTCCGAGATCGTCACCGAGCGCCGCAGACATGGTAAGGCCGCGGAGACGAGCTGGAGGAATGGGGATGGGTCGTTTTTGGTGGGGCTGCTAAGGGATATTAGCCAGCTAGCATGTTGTCCTTTTATAGGTAGTGCTGTGTTGCGTTTCGAAAGTGGCATATACATTCATATACATTATTTACCCACAGTTAGCTAAACGACCTAGCTATAAATGTTAGTCCGAGTTTCATTGTTAGCTAACTAGCCAGCTTGATGCTCCGCGCGCAGAATAAAGTTACACAGGATGTTTTGGATTGAGGAACTACTTCGGGGATTAAAGGGGTCTCGGTCTCGCTACCCCCTCCTCTTGCAGACACACACCCCATGGTTAAAATAGTACAAGCGCTGTTGCCTGTCGCTAAAATCGGCCTGCTCCGCCCATTCCTTCCCGTGGATTTGAGGCGACGTGTAAACCACAACTCCCAACTTTTCCTTGGCTTCAACAATGTGAATTACGTGTTCCTGTAACTTTTTTTGAAATTACTGTCAGAGTAACTTTTTGTATAACACGTTTAATAATGTAACTGTGAAATTATATTAGGTAAGAATATTCACTCTTAACATCCTTTCAATGTTAGGCATATTGTGGTGCACCTGACAAAATAAATTCAACCACCATTGTCACGTGCATAGCTATTATTTTCCAATATAGGCCTATATGGGGCGGCAGGTAGCCTTGAGGTTAGTGTTGAGCCAGTAAACGAAAGGTTGATGGTTCAAATACCAGGGCCGACAAGGTGAACACATTTAAAAAATCTTTCGCTGTGCCCTTGAGCAAGGCACTTGACTCTAATTACTCGAGGGACGAAGTACGATGGCGACCCTGGCCATGACCCCACTTCCTGCAGGGGAGTTGGGATATGCAAAAAAACATTTCCATTACACACTTGTTTATTATTATTTTGAAATTCCTAATGGCTTTAAACACTTGAAGTAATGTGTGACTGCCTTGTGTCACCAACAAATCTAACTAGCTACATTCACACCTCAAACGCCACTGGACTCCTTTTATGACTATCCCACACTTGGAATGAAAGTCTGATACAATATAGTGGAGAGCAGATGGCTTGTCTCCCCAGCCACCCACACTCTCTCCCCTGACCTCATCCGTCCCGTTGGTCCATCCTCGCTGCCTATTCTCGGCCCCCGGGGCAGTTGGTCCGGTAGTGTTTACACTGAGTCTGGGGCATTGGTAAACAGTGTCAAGGAGCGCAGGTGTCGGCTGAACAAGACAGATTCATCTGCCTAGAAACAACCCAAAAGTGTGGCATGCAGTACATGATCTGAAAACCTTGGCTGTGTTCCGGAGAAAGCAGACTGAAGTTTGTTTAGGGAAGGAATGATTTTGGGTGTGTGATTCTCCTATAGCCAGCTGCTCTTTTCTGGCTTGTAGTGTCTACCTTGGTTTTATCTGATGACTTGGCATTTGATTTTTGATTTGATTTATTTATTAGGATCCCCATTAGCCGAAGCCAATGGCGACAGCTAGTCTTACTGGGGTCCGACATATAACGAAAAATACATTACAGACAAGCCTTTACAATTTACATACATACACACACTACATGTTAATGTTTTTAAATGTATCTATCAGTTACCCATACATGTCAGTACATACACACAACAAGTAGGTCAAATGGGGGAGAGGCGTTGTGCCGCAAGGTGTTGCTTTATTTGTTTTTTGAAACCAGGTTTGCTGCACTAGCGCTATATAAGATGGAAAGGAGTTCCATGCACTCATGGCTCTGTATAATACTGTACGTTTCCTTGAATTTGTTCTGTACCTGGGTACTGTGCATATTAATTGAAATACATTGAGTTGATTACTGGTATTCCTGTGAATTTGTCTATTGTATATTGGAATTTGTCAAAGTTGGTGTGTTTTGTTTATGAGAATCAATGTTGTTTATGAGAACCACCATGTGTTTTGACAGGTCTTCAGTTTGTTGTTTTTAGACTTTTGGGTCTCTAGGCTATATATCAGTTTGCTTGTTTGTAGTCTTTGCATCTCTCAAGATGAGTGTGTTGCTGCACTATTTATCAGTAGTTACTAGAGTTCTGTTATTTTTGATGATTTAATTAGAATAGGACTACAGTCGGAACTGCATTAAGTACAAATTGGATGAGTGCAAACTTGACTTGAGTTTCTCCAGATATCTCAGTCCTGTACATTTCTTAGGGGTTACATGTTGTGGCTGGCCTGTCCTTCCCTGCATGCTGATATCTTGCTCACCACATAGTTCAGAGAGAGAACACCACCCTCGGGGAAGGCTGTTATGTGGTCTGCTAGCTCAGCTTCTCCCTATTAACAACAAACCTCTCTGTGCCACTGCTAGATCTCCTCAGTAATTGAACGGAAGGGGAGCTTTTGGAGAGACAGATTGACGACATGAATCAATCCGTATTCATTCATCCTTCTTTCTGAAGAAGTTCAGTTTAATCACATTTTATTTATATGGGTTTGTTTGTCAAAGTTGTCTATAACACAACACTTCACAAATGGGCCTGTATTCAAAAAGGCAAGCCTGAGCCCTGAGGTGTTGGTAGCAAGGAAGAACTGCCTTACGAATTCCTTAATGTTGACCTCCCTGGGCTAATCTCCACCAGTTCTAGAAGACTAGGACAGAATCACCAAGCCAGCCGTTTAGTTATCAACTGAGACAAATTGGACAATTCACATTACAGTGAAAAATCCTCAATGGTAGGTAGGGCTGTTACGGTCATGGAATTTTGGATCAAGGTAATTGGCCAGCCAAATGACAGCATTTATCATAAAAACCGTTTAATAAAATAAATAATAAGAGGCACATTTTATCCTCTCCTCCGCTCCTGACTGCACGTGCTGCCATAGAAATAGAATAAATCAAATGGACGTCCCCATTCAAGTCAATGATGGCATAATAGGTGGACTGGTGGCCATTGTGAGTGTACCCATAGGAGCAAAGCAGGAAGTAAAAGCAGGAAGTGTACCCATCCATGCTGTGATTTGTTGATTAAACTCTACTGCAATGGAAAAATACATTCCATTTCATAAGCCACAGTTAAAGGTAGACTCAGTGAATTGACATTGCCATGAGCAACACCGCAGATATTGAGATGAGCGAGATGCAACACTTCGCTCTCACACAGTCACACACAGTATCTGGGCATGTGCACGCGATCGCTTTACGCGGTTTACAGCGTGGTAGCCAGGGGATGAAAACAGTGGAGAAGTTGAGCCTCACGCTTCAACTCCCCACGTAGCTCAGTTGGTAGAGCATGGCGCTTGCAACGCCAGGGTTGTGGGTTTGATTCCCACGTGGGGCCAGTATGAGAAAAAAAAATGTATGCACTCACTAACTGTAAGTCGCTCTGGATAAGAGCGTCTGCTAAATGACTAAAATGTAAATAGTTGTGGAAATTGACCCACTATGCTGTTCACATTCTACCTTTAACATAATTTGAATGAACATTCTACATTACCATGGAAATTATTGCATCACAATACCAGGCAGTAATTGCGAGTGTACCCATTACCAGTCAAATTGCCAGGGTTAGAGTTTGCAAGCCCATTCTATTAAACTTTTAAAAACGTTATGACTTCTTTTATTTTCATGACAGTCTTCATCCGTCAGTTATATGGTAATTGTATCAGTAGGAGCAGAGTATTGTACTTGTAGGAGCAGAGTATTGTACTTGTAGGAGCAGAGTATTGAGTTAATGGCTACTCATTCTCCACGAATGAATCATTTAAAACAAATAAAACACTTATCTTTCCTCACTATGTATGTGTGTGTGTGTATATATATATATATATATATATATATATATATATATATATATATATATATATATATATATATATATATATATATATATATATATATATATATATATATATGCGAGAGAGAAAAAAAACATATGGGGGATTGGAAGTGATGCAGACAATTAGATTGTAACTTCCATCAATGTATCTGCAATATTATAGCTGATCTACCCCCCACATCCTTTTGGTATAGGGTTAGTCACATTTTCAGTTGATAGGAACTGTTGTCTTAATTTATGAGCGCTCAAGCAATCAACGTTTTTACATAGACTTAAAATAATGTTGACCTTTCTAGATGCCATAAAATGACAGGCCTGTATCAGTAACTGGAGGCTCCACAGCATTGCCTTATATGGTAACCAGTCAATCTGTCTTCTAACTACCATGGTTACAAAATGTTTTTCACGTTTGACCCAGTCGGAAGCTTTTCAGAGTTTTTAGCCAGGGCCCAGTTGTGGATTTAGACACTCCCCTAAAGGAATCTGCCATGGGTTGTAAAGTTGTTGTGACCCACCAATGACTCCAGACCCACAACATTTAGGCCTAGGCCTAGTGTACTAGATAGACCTATCACATGCACAACAAGGCTATTTAGGGGCAAACTTCCACTCTCATGCCACTTAGTTTTGCTTCGATAAAGTCTCATGTTACTGAAACCATGAGCAGCTAGCTCCATGACCTATGTAATCTCAGGATGCAGTGAGTGAGTGTATGGCTATGGTTGTCAGGGTGTGAATGTTCCTTACATAGCCTAGTCACGGCCTGGCTCGGCCCTGTCGTATCCACCGTAAGAATGTAACATGCATCCATCACTGGCTGCCCCCTCAGTCTGCTGGGGCTGCGTGGGAGGCTGGGAGCTTTGTTTGCTCTGTTGTCAATTCAATCTATTTTGGTTGATTTAAATGCAGACATTGATGGGGATGCATTTAGCCTGAAACATTTTAAAGTGAATTTAATCTCCTTAAAAGATTAATGAAAATCAACTGTTAAAACGGCTAACTTCTTATATGTTCCAAGACCAGCCTAAACTGTTGAATCTTTCTGCAGGGTTGAACTTGGCAAGGATCAAGTTCAAGTTCATTTAAAATGAAGACACATTTTCTCTTGTAAAATTAACAAATTGACAAAGGGCAAGTGCAACTTGCTTTTAGACTGTCTTTTGCGGAACTATACATTTTGTGTGTAGGAATGTGTATCAAAAGCTTACTCTCATTGTGTGTGTGTTTCAGAATGACCAGCAGCTGGACTGTGCTCTGGACCTGATGAGGCGTCTGCCTCCCCAGCAGATCGAGAAAAATCTCAGTGACCTCATTGACCTGGTGAGTCTCCGGCAGATGACAACCTTATAGGGAGGGGCACTCAACATGTACGGCACTTACACAAATGACTAATGATTGGCGGAAATAAATTGATAAGACAATTGTGGGAGCTGTTTTGTTAGACTTCAGTGCAGCTTTTGACATTATCGATCATAGTCTGCTGCTGTAAAAACAACTAGTTTCTTTGGCTTTACGTCCTCTGCTATATCGTGGATCGAGAGTTATCTGTCTAACAGAACACAGAGAGGGTGTTCTTTAATGGAAGCGCCTCCAACATAATCAAGGTAGAGTCGGGCATACCCCAGGGAAGCTGTCTAGGCCCACTACTTTTTTTAAATGTTTACTAATAACCTGGCACTGAGTAATGCCTGTTCAGGCTCCCTATTTATAAAGAAGATGACAAGCTATGAAAGAAAAATACTCGAGGTTTGGTACAGCCAACTAGTGAACTTAAAGCATTGTATTTGGGACAAATCATTCACTAAACCTCAACTAAATCTTTTAAAGAATAATGTGGAAATTGAGCAAGTTGAGTAGACTAAACTGCTTGGTCTAACCCTGGATTGTAAACTGTCATGGGCACATTTTTTTTTTTTTGTGGGGGGGGGAGTTGCGCACGGAGGGGTCAATTGGCGGGAAGAACGCAATATACAGTATTAAGGACACATTGGTTATACTAGAACTGTGATTTGGTGCATAATGTCATTCTTCTTATTTAAATTGTTTATGGCATTAGTAACAATCTCATTAAATCATTGTTCTAAACCAGGGGTGTCAAACGTACGGCCCGCGGGCCGGATCAGGCCCGCAAACGGGTTTAATCCGGCCCGCGAGATGATTATTTTTTTTTTAAGTATAAAAATGCGCTGCAATTTTTCAATAAAATAAACTGCTGTTCCAATTGCGTCCACTGGATGGCGCAATAGCAATTGTGTTAAGCAAGCAAACTGTTTATACCGGGGCAGAGCAAGTAGGTCAAGCACGTGCAGCCAATGAGCTACTTTGTTTTGCCCGCAAAATTTATTACGGCTTCTACTTTTAACATTATGTGCTTTGGCACCCTCATTGCCCCAATATGTCTCTGTCAAAAAAGAGAAAAGTGGACGCAGAGTGTTCCAAGAAAAATGGTCATCCTATTTAATCACGGAATTGAATGGGAAAGCTGTATGTTTGGTGTGTTTAGAGCATGTTGCAGTGCTGAAAGAATATAACCTTCGTCGCCACTATGTGAGTCTTCATGCTGACAAATATGACAACTTTCAAGGACAGCGGAGATGAGAGAAGGTGAATGAACTGTTGGCGGGTCTGATGACACATTGACCGTCACCGAGGAGTTCGTGGAGTTGGTGCCGATGACAGATACAACGACAGCAGCTGATATTTTTACCGCACTCGTCGGCGCGCTGGACAGGGTCGGAGTGGACTGGTCCCGCGCTGTCAGCCTGGCTACAGATGGTGCGCCCTCAATGATCGGGAAAAAAAGCAGGCGTTGTGACAAAGTTCAGAGAGAAAGTGCAATCTGCAAATGGAGGACGTGATTTTTTGACTTTTCACTGTATTTTGCACCAGGAGGCTTTGTGTTGCAAGTCATTAAAGATGGATAACGTCATGAAGGTGGTCATCCAAACTGTTAATTTCATCCGATCCAGAAGCCTGAATCACCGTCAGTTTGACAGCCTTCTCAGAGAGAAAGACCACATCTATGGCCTGCCATACCACACTGAGGTAAGATGGTTAAGCCGAGGTGCTGTGCTGAGGCGTTTCTTTGATTTACGAGAAGAAATTGAACAGTTCATGGAAGAAAAGGGCAAACCAGTGTTAGAATTTCATTCCGCAGAATGGATGCCGGACCTTGCATTTATGGTGGATGTTACAGAGCACCTGAATAACTTGAACAAACAGCTGCAAGGGCGCAACAAAGTTGTCACGCAGTATTATGACAGCATACGTTCTTTCAAGTTGAAGCTGTCATTGTGGGAGACGCAACTTGCCGGTGGTGATGCAGCTCACTTCCCCTGTCTGAAAAATGTGTGCGCGACCCAACATGTGGCAGACATGAAGCGGTTCAAAGATAAAATAACTGGACTGTTACGGGAGTTTGAGCAACGCTTTCAGATTTATGTTTATATGTTTTTATGTTGATGTGCTATTGTTTTTAATTGATTTTATTTTATTTGTATATTTAACCTATTCTTGACTCTGTGGTTCTTGCACTTGTTTGGGGAACAGGATTTCATTATTTTTATCTACATTTCTGCCTGAGAAATGACACCCTGATATAGTTCTGTGATCTGTGAAACAGTTCTGTTAATCACTGAGGCATTGTGTGTTTGTGTGTTCTTTTTCTTTAGAATTTTCAAATAAACTTGACGTGTTTTATGATTAATAGTGATGTTGTGCTTGTACTATTTTGGACACACTGTCCTCAGGCTCCAGCTTTATGTTGTATGTTGATCGTATTAAAACAAAGAAAACAATCTGAAGTTGTTGTTTTTAAGTTATATATACCATGATTTTTCCGGTCCGGCCCACTTGGGAATAGATTTTCCTCCATGTGGCCCCTGAGCTAAAATGAGTTTGACACCCCTGTTCTAAACAAAACCGTGTTAGGCCTAGTTATGTTTTATCTTGTTTAGGCTGCAAATTGATTTTCAAATTGATAGGGCTATTTTTCTCCATTCCATAAAAAGACTCAGATATCAGTTAGATTAGCCTACCGTATCAAGTTTAGTCTATTGTTATTTAATCTTGATCATCTGGGTAAGCTCATTTGCTACATTCTTCCATTAGGCTACTTTCTGACAGTTTCAGACTGTAAAAGGAAGTGATGGGATATCACTTAGTTACTATGGTATAGCCAGCCTTATGCTAAATATAGAAAAAAAACGATAGCTGACTTGGTGGGAAAGAAAATCATGTCTTCGCCTGTTTGGCATTTCTTTGGTTTCAAAGGATAGACAGACTACAAACCTCTGTGAACATTTACAAGTCCATCATCCTGCTGAGTTCGTTACACTGTGACAGAAAAGAAAAGGTGTACATGCTGGTGTTCCTTGCCAGAAACCTTTAGGTAGACCTAATGGTTCCTCGTGGCACTTTATTTAACTTTAAATGTAGCCTATATTCAAATCCAGATGCATCTTATTCGAAAGACAGGCTAAAATATTCTGTCAAACCTTGAAAGACTTACTTGCACTTTGTTTTTTTGCATTAATTTAGGTTATTTTCGTACTTATTTTGTTTAGGCTACCTTATTTATTTTGTAACTTGTAGGCATATATTTAGGATTTGTACAGTTCGATAGGCAAAATGCATAGGCTATCCTAATAGGCCTATTTGTTTTTAGCCTAAGCAAATGTTCATTTGTTTTTTAAGTGTTATAACCTAAAGAATGTTATAAATAACAATCTGTTTGGTCTGATTTGTATATTTGAGGCCTATTTGTTTTTAGCGTAAGCCAATGTTCATTCATGTGTTATAAAGAATGGTATAGGCTAAATAATCATTTATTTTATCTGATTGTTGTTGACTTTTTAAGCTGAGTATACAAAACATTAAGAACACCTGCTCTTTCCATGACATGACCAGGTGAATCCAGGTGAAAGCTAGGATCCCTTATTGACTTGTTAAATCCACTTCAATCAGTGTAGATGAAGGAGAGGATGTTTTATTTTTTATTTAACCTTTATTTAACTAGGCAAGTCAGTTAAGAACAAAATCTTATTTACAATGACTGCCTACCAAAAGGCAAAAGGCCTCCTGCGGGATCAGGGGCTGGGATTAAAAATATAGGACAAAACACACATCACGACAAGAGACACTACATAAAGAGAGACCTAAGACAACAACACAGCATGGCAGCAACACATGACAACGCAGCAACACATGACAACACAGCATGGTAGCAACACAACATGACAACCACACGGTAGCAGCACAAAACATGGTACAAGCATTATTGGGCACAGACAACAGCACAAAGGGCAAGAAGGTAGAAACCACAATACATCACGCGAAGCAACCACAACTGTGGAGTTGAGAAACTCTGCTAGCTTATACACAGACTTATAGTACACTTCTAGACTACTTACTAACAGCCAGGACTGTGCTTGAAATCTCCCATAGTGCAAAAACATCTGACAGATGAAGCTGAATCAGACAGAAATCAAACCACACTTTCTCTAGTGATTGTTCTCCACCTTTTTTGGGGATCATATCCGTTCTTCCCTTCAGACCCCATCTGCTCCTCTTCCTTTCTTCTCCCCTTTGACAACTCACTCCCCTGGGCACCAGCACTCTCCTTGACCGCTTCAGCCCGCTCCTCTGTATCTGGTTGTTAGTGCTCATTAGCAAAGCTGTCATTCTACATAAGCCCATTTAGCCCCTCCCTCTCGTTACTCTCGCTCCTTATGGTTGGGAATCACCTGAGCTCACCTCCCCTGTCCTCCTTTCCCCCTCTCTACTGGTCTGTCCACCCACCCCACTCTCTCTTTCCTCTGTGATTCTACTTTCTACCCCAATTTCCCCCTTCTACCTGCCTTCTGTCCCCCCTCTGTCTCTGTGTGTCTGGCAGTTGCCAGGTGTGTGGCGCTCTGTCCGGGGAACAGAGCAGGCATTGTCTGTGTGTTCTGATGTGGGGGTGGGGGTGGGGGGGTCCGTGTCAGTCTGTGAGTAGTCATTTGTACCCCTTTATCCCCCAAGACTGTTGTCATTCAAATTCTTTCCCTATTCTCTCTCCCATTTCCCTGTGTCACCTTCTCTCCCACTTAGCAAGTAGACAGGGAATGAGGAAAAAATGGCTTATTTCCCCCTCATATTGATTCAGGGACATCTAATGCCAGATTTCTCTAGTCTCCCTGTCTCATCTGTTTCTCATGCACACTATGCCCCCCCCCCCCCCCCCATTGTCTCACGTCAGATCCCGTCATTCCTACGTGACGCTCGTCCCTCAACCAATCTGTGTTGTAGGAAGTGGAACTCATCTTCTGAAAATCACTCCGCTCTCGGTAGCTATGATGCACTGGCTACTACGGCAAACTATGCTCCAGCTAGCACCCTAGTGCAAGCTTGTTTGAATGGCCATACGGTAGCTAGTTTGCCAGCTTGTTATTGAAGTAGTACAGCACCGAAATTGTGGGACTGTCCTCAAAAATCTGCATGTAGCTGACTGACAGCTGGCACTGTGCCTCGCTACTTTGTAATATTTGACCAACGCGATAACGCTGCAGAGAGCAGTCAGCTGTGCAGTAGAACTCAGCGCACTAATCACGGCAGAACAGATAATCATGATAACTAATTTGTGCATTAGCTAGAACTTCTCTATGCTAGCTAGCGGGAGTATTCAGCATTGAGTGTGTGTGAACTGGCGTTGTTAGCATCCCTGCCTTTCGTTTCATATATATTGATTTGAGACTGGTTCAGCCAGCAAGCAGACATTAGCTAGCAAATTTCGTGCACATTTAGAATTTCACAAATACTGATTCTACCACCACAAAACACCTTAGCTAGATGTAGAATTGGGTAGTGAATATTTGCTCAGGTTTTGGTAAGATTGAGTCTTTTGAGGATGAAAGGGGGTTCAGGGGACGATGTCACCTTGGTAACATTTTCAAATGTTAAGACAGCATATTGTAGCCGGACTGCTTTTTAGCTATCCTGTGAGTGTTTGCGAGTTATCAACAGTGTTGCCAACTCCTCAGTAACGAAAGTAGCTATTGGCTGTCCTAAAAGTCGCTAGAAGATGCTAAATTACGTCATCACCTAATTTGCATAATTTGCCATGTGCATGTAATTGTGATGGACGCTGTAGGAGAGAGTAATAACGTTGTGGGAGAGACAAAAAGTGAGTAAAAAACACCCTACATTTACATCCCGCCCTGAATGTAAGCCAGGGCGGGATCAGCCAGCGGCGGCTTCCTGCATGCGCGATTCATTTGCAGTCTGGACGCGGAGTGGTGAACATCTCCTGCTCTGACTGCAGCTGGGAGGGACTGCTGCGCGTGGACTGGGCCGCCTGTGAGTGCTTTGGGACGGGGGTAACAAAGCACCCGCTGCTCGTTGAGAAGAGTAAGAACGATACGTACTTTCACGTCAGTCTCCAATAACACAAAATATCATGTCACTATATATATATATATTTTTTTTTTCTTCTGAATAATACAAGTTCTAAATATGTTTCAGGGCTTGACTTATTTAATTTTTTTAGTTGTCCAAAAGCTCAAGTCACTTGTCCCCCCCCCCCCCCCCAAAAAAAAAATGGTCTAACACCATTTTTACATCATTTTATGATGCAAGGAACCAGTTTACAAAATAAAATGCATTACTATCTTTTTTACCATGGAGAATCACAAAAATATAGGCTACTCTCTGGCTATTGGCTTCTTTGCATATTGAAGCCCATCTCAAAATACAACACTGCCCGTTTTAAGGCTCTCCTTGAGGATGGTTGGCCACCCTTGGTAGCATATAGAATATTACAACATTGCAATTACAACCAAGTACTTTTTGTATATGTCTACTGTTCAAAACAGACTCATGGATGACAGATCTAAAATACATACATACCACTGCACATAAGAACATTTTAGCTGCATGTGCATGCGGTTTCATGTGACAGATGAAAATATCCGTTAGAAATTTAAAAAAAGGGGAGATCTAAAGACTCATCAACTAGCATGGGTTACAATACATCACGCGAAGCAGCCACAATAACTATCCAGTTTGAGTGCTTTTTGCAGCTCGTTCCAGTCGCTAGCTGCAGCGAACTGGAAAGGGGAGCGACCCAGGGATGTGTGTGCTTTGGGGACCTTTAACAGAATGTGACTGGCAGAACAGGTGTTGTATGTGGAGGGCTGCTTTAGGTATCTCAGATAGGGGGGAGTGAGGCCTAAGAGGGTTTTGTAAATAAGCATCAACCAGTGGGTCTTGCGACGGGTATACAGAGATGACCAGTTTACAGAGGAGTATAGACTGCAGTGATGTGTCCTATAAGGCGCATTGGTGGCAAATCTGATGGCCGAATGGTAAAGAACATCTAGCTGCTCGAGAGCACCCTTACCTGCCAATCTATAAATTACGTCTCAATGGGTAGGATGGTCATCTAAATCAGGGTTAGTTTGGCAGCTGGGGTGAAAGAGGAGTGATTACAATAGAGGAAACCAAGTCTAGATTTAACCTTAGCTTGCAGCTTTGATATGTGCTGAGAGAAGGACAGTGTACTGTCTAGTCATACTCCCAAGTACTTGTATGAGGTGACTACCTCAAGCTCTAAACCTTCAGAGGTAGTAAGCACACCGGTGGGGAGAGGGGCATTCTTCTTACCAAACCACATTACCTTTGTTTTGGAGGTGTTCAGAACAAGGTTAAGGGCAGAGAAAGCTTGTTGGACACTAAGAAAGCTTTGTTGTAGAGCGTTTAACACAAAATCCGGGGAGGGGCCAGCTGAGTATGACTGTATCATCTGCATATAAATGGTTGCGAGAGCTTCGTACTGCCTGAGCTATATTGTTGATGTAAATTGAGAAGAGAGTGGGGCCTAGGATCGAGCCTTGAGGTACTCCCTTGGTGACAGGCAGTGGCTGAGATAACAGATGTTCTGACTTTATACACTGCACTCTTTGAGAGAGGTAGTTAGCAAACCAGGCCAAAGACCCCTCAGACACCAATACTTAGCCGGCCGACAAGGATGCAATGGTCTACCGTATCAAAAGCTTTGGCCAAGTCAATAAAAATAGCAGCACAACATTGCTTAGAATCAAGGGCAATGGTGACATCGTTTAGGACATTTAAGGTTGCAGTGACACATCCATAGCCTGAGCGGAAACCAGATTGCATACCAGAGAGAATACTATAGACATCAAGAAAGGCAGTCAGCTGAATATTGACAAGTTTTTCCAACACTTTTGATAAACAAGGCAAAATAGAAATTGGCCTATAACAGTTAGGATCAGCTTGATCTCTCCCTTTAAATAAAGGACGCACCATGGCTGCCTTCCAAGCAATGGGAACCTCCCCAGAGAGGAGAGACCGGTTAAAAAGGTCAGAGATAGGCTTGGCGATGATAGGGGCAGCAACCTTAAAGAAGAAAGGGTCTAAACCATCTGACCCAGATGTTTTTTTGGTGTCAAGTTTAAGGAGCTCCTTTAGCACCTTGGAATCCGTGACCGCATGCAGGGAGAAACTTTGTAGCGGGGCAGGGGAAAAAGAGGGAGGAGCATCGGGTCTAGTCACATTAGGAGGACTGGGAGATGAGGAAATGTTGGACGGGCAAGGAGGCATGGCTGAGTCAAATAGGAATCCTTGACTTAATGAAGTGGTGTTTTAAAGAGCCCAGCCATGTGCTCTTTGTCAGTAACAACCACATCAACATTTAAGGGCAGCTGTGAGGAGGAAGGTTTATTCTCCAGGTCTTTAACCGTTTTCCAGAACTTCTTGGGGTTAGACCCACAGAGAGAGAACTGCTCCTTAAAGTAACTAGCTTTAGCCTTCCGGATAGCCTGAGTGCACTTATTTATCATTTGCCTGAACGAGAGCCAGTCAGCCTGAGTAAGCGTGTGCTGAGCCTTTCGCCAAATTGAATTCTTGAGGTGGAGTAACTCTGCCAGATCACGGTCGAACCAGGTGCTGAACATGTTTTTAATTCTCATTTTCTTTATGGGGCGTTTGTTAACAATACCACTGAAAATATCAAAAAAGAAGGTCCAAGTGTCTTCGACAGAGGGGATCAAGCTGATTCTATACCAATTTACAGAGGCCAGGTCATGAAGGAAGGCTTGCTCATTCAAGTTTTTTAGAAAGAGTCTATGACAAATCAGGACAGGTTGTTTAACTGAGTAGCCGTTACAAACACAGGCTGTAAAACAGTGATCACTAAGGTCATTACAGAAAACACCAGACTGATACCTATCAGGATTATTTGTGAGGATAACATCAAGGAGAGTAGCCTTTTCTGGGTGTTTGGTGTCATACCTTGTGGGATTGGTAATAATCAGAAAGATTTAGGGAGTCCCATTCCTTTAGGACTTGGTCAGGTGGTTTAAGCATTTCCTAGTATGTCGACAGAATCAAGCCTTTAGACGTTAATGTTAATTATCCTTCATTATAAACTGGGTGGTTCGAGCCCTGAATGCTGATTGGCAAAAAATTTATTTTTACTGCTCTAATTACGTTGGTAACCAGTGTATAATAGCAATAAGGCACCTCAGGGGTTTGTGGTATATGGCCAATATACCACGGCTAAGGGCTGTATCCAGGCACTCCGCGTTGCGTCGAGCATAAGAACAGCCCTTAGCCGTGGTATATTGGCCATATACCACACCCCCTCGTGCCTTATTGCTTAATTATACACCTGAGTATACAAAACATTAACACCTGCTCTTCCCATGACAGACTGACCAGGTGAAAGCTATGATCGCTTTATTGAATATGTTTACATGCACACTAATTCGATATTAAACTGATTATGGCAGTAGGCAGAGTATGGAAATGGTCAGGTAAACACCTTACTCTGCTTATCATAATTGGCGTAAGGTCAAAATCTTAGTAAGCATACGCCGATTAAAACGGCTAGTTTTCTGAGCAATCTCACCTCGTGGAGTTGCAATGATCATGAGAACGGTGAGGAATCAGCCCAGATCTACACAGGAGGATCTTGTCAATGATCTCAAGGCAGCTGTGACCATAGTCACCAAGAAAACAATTGGTAACACACTACGCCGTGAAGGACTGAAATCCTGCAGCGCCCGCAAGGTCCCCCTGCTCAAGAAAGCACTTATACAGGCCCGTCTGAAGTTTGCCAATGAACATCTGAATGATTCAGAGGAGAACTGGGTGAAAGTGTTGTGGTCAGATGAGACCAAAATCGAGCTCTTTGGCATCAACTCAACTCGCCGTGTTTGGAGGAGGAGGAATGCTGCCTATGACCCCAAGAACACCATCCCCACCGTCAAACATGGAGGTGGAAACATTATGCTTTTCTGCTAAGGGGACAGGACAACTTCACCACATCAAAGGGACGATGGACGGGGCCATGTACCGTCAAATCTTGGGTGAGAACCTCCTTCCCTCAGCCAGGGCATGGAAAATGGGTCGTGGATGGGTATTCCAGCATGACAATGACCCAAAACACACAGCCAAGGCAACAAAGGAGTGGCTCAAGAAGAGGCACATTAAGGTCCTGGAGTGGCCTAGCCAGTCTCCAGACCTTAATACCATAGAAAATCTGTGGAGGGAGCTGAAGGTTCGAGTTGCCAAACGTAAGCCTCGAAACCTTAATGACTTGGAGAAGATCTGCAAAGAGGAGTGGAACAAAATCCCTCCTGAGATGTGTGCAAACCTGGTGGCCAACTACAAGAAACGTCTGACCTCTTTGATTGCCAACAAGGGTTTTGCCACCAAGTACTAAATCATGTTTTGCAGAGGGGTCAAATACTTATTTCCCTCATTAAAATGCAAATCAATTTATAACATTTTTGACATGCGTTTTTCTGGATTTTTTTGTTGTTATTCTGTCTCACTGTTCAAATAAACCTACCATTAAAATTATAGGCTGATCATGTCTTTGTCAGTGGGCAAATGTACAAAATCAGCAGGGGATCAAATACTTTTTTCCCTCACTGTATATTCTATTTTTTTATTTTTTTACTTGTCCTGGACAAGAGGACAATCGTTAATGTCAAACCCTGTGTTTTATGAGTAGGGAATGACCCTTGAATGGCAACAAATTCATTGTAAGTGATTTTAATGGGCTTTCGCCATTCTGATTTTATACTCAACCAAACTAGGATAACAGTTGTCCAATTTGTAGAAGTTTTCATTTAATTTAGCACTGTATTAAAATATCGTCATAGACGGTATTGTAAAAATCCAAATCCATGTGGATCCATACCGGTATTCACAATATATTGTTCAGACTATATTAAAGACTCAAAAGTATGTGAGTCATTGCTCTATTAATCTTAAATGTGATTTTGGAGTGGGTTGATGGACAAAAACATTGATAGGTTCTGTTGTTCGTAAGTTACTATGGTACCTGTTTAAATATACTGTGTATGAAATTGTACAGTATGCTTAAATAAATCGCTTTTTTAGTTAATTTAAGTTGAGCTATATGAAAGCGAGAGAGACATATTTTAGAAAATGTTTTGGAGAACATTTGAACGTTTTCATGTACTGTGCCTTCAGAAAGTATTCATACCGCTTGACTTATTCCACACACAATACCCCATAATGACAAAGTGTAAACATGTTTTTAGAATAAAAAAGGAAATGAAATACAGAAATATCTCATTTACATCCCTGAGTTAATACGTGTTAGAATAACCTTTGGCAGCGACTGCAGCTGTCTTTCTGGATGTCTCTAAGAGATTTGCCCGCCTGGATTGGACAATATTTGCACATTATTCATTTTTTAAAATTCTTCAAGCTCTGTCAATTTGGTTGGTGGTCATTTTAAAGTTAATATTATTATTTTATTATTCAGAAATAACTAGGCCACTCAGGAACATTCAATGTGGTCTTGGTAAGCAACTCCGCTGAAAGGTGAATTTGTCTCCCAGTGTCTGTTTGAAATCAGACTGAACCAGGTTTTCCTCTAGGATTTGCCTGTGCTTATCTCTATTCCGTTTACTTTTGGCCTAAAAAACTACCTAGTCCTTGCCGATGACAAGCATACGCATATCATGATGCAGCCAGCACCAGTGGTTCTCAGTGATGTGCTGCGTTGGATTTGTCCCAAACATAACGCTTTGTATTCAGGACGTAAAGTTAATTTCTTTGCCACATTTTTTGCAGTTTTACTTTAGTGCCTTATTGCAAACAGGATGCATGTTTTGGAATATTTGTATTCTGTACAGGCTTCCTTCTTTTCACTCTGTCATTTAGGTTAGTATTGTGGAGTAACTACAATGTTGTTGATCCATCCTCAGTTTTCTCCTATCACAGCCATTAAACTCTGTTTTACAGTCACCATTGGCCTCATGGAGCAGTTTCCTGCCTCTCCTGCAACTGAGTTAGGAAGGACGCATGTATCTTTGTAGTGACTGGGTGTATTGATACACCATCCAAAGTGTAATTAATAACTTCACCATGCTCAAAGGGAAATTCAATGTCTGCGTTTTTTAATTTTTTACCAATCTACCAATAGGTGCCCTTCTTTGAGGCATTGGAAAACATCCCTTGTGGTTGAATCTGTTTTTGAAATTCACTGCTCAACTGAAGGACCTTACAGATAATTGTATATGTGGGGTACAGAGACGAGGTAGTCATTCAGAAATCATGTTAACCACTACTATAAGGGGTTGAGTACTTATTTACTCAAGACATTTCAGCTTTTCATATTTAATTTGTAAACATTTGTAAAAACATAATTCCACTTTGACATTATGGAGTATTCTGTGTAAGCCAGTGACACAATCTCAATGTAATCCATTTTAAATGTAGGCTCTAACACCACAACATTTGGAAAAAGTCAAGTGGTGTGAATACTTTCTGAAGGCACTGTAAGTTTGCGAGAAGGTCTGCGTGTAAGTTTATGTCAATGAAAGTGTGTTTGTGTGAGCATGTAGAATAGTATCAAAAGTGTGTTGTTGGATCATGTTGTGAAAGCTTTCTCTGTCTGTGTCCAGGTGCCCAGTCTGTGTGAGGACCTGCTCTCCTCTGTGGACCAGCCTCTGAAGATCGCCCGGGATAAGGTGGTGGGGAAAGACTACCTGCTCTGTGACTACAACAGAGACGGGGACTCCTACAGGTAGGACCTTTCCACATATCAATCTCCTCAGGAACCATGCCTGGTATAAATAATGTCATTACAATTATTTGTTTGTCATACATGAACATTTGCCACACACACAAATTATAGTGACAACCCTTTAGTCACAAAGGATTGATTTGGATTTTCTCTTGCTCGTTCTTGTTTTTCAGATCCCCATGGAGTAATAAGTATGAGCCTCCCATCGACGATGGTGCCATGCCATCTGCCCGCCTGCGGAAACTAGAGGTGGAGGCCAACAACGCCTTTGACCAGTACAGAGACCTGTGAGTACCAGTATGCCATTGGTATGACCAAGACCGTATGTGAGAGGAACAGACGGACTCATTATTGAGACTTTAGTGTATCATTATACCACAGTAATACCATTTATAACATTATTACAAAACGGGTAGGTTGGATCCTCAATGCTGATTGGCTATGCCTTGTCTGACGCAAACAAATATCCCGATAATACCACCAATGACAGTCTTATCATAAATATCCATGTCCTCCTCTGTGTTTGTCAGGTACTTTGAGGGTGGCGTATCCTCTGTGTATCTGTGGGACTTGGATCATGGCTTCGCCGGGGTCATCCTCATCAAGAAGGCCGGAGACGGCTCCAAGAAGATCAAAGGCTGCTGGGACTCCATCCATGTGGTGGAGGTGCAGGAGAAGTCCAGCGGACGGACCGCTCACTACAAACTCACCTCCACCGTCATGCTGTGGCTCCAGACGACCAAGGCCGGCTCTGGTACCATGAACCTAGGTGGCAGTCTGACAAGACAGGTACTTGCATACAACTGAGCGTGTGGGTGGTAGGGGGGAATATGTGTGGGGTGGGGTGGGGGGGGAATTGTAGTTGTACGGATGATTTTGTATGGTTGGGGGGGTTGTGTTTGTGGGGGGGGGGGGTTGTCTGTGTGTGCCTGCTCTAAGCTCTCATAATCTGTCTCTTGGTTTACTTGTTGCGACATATCTCCACTGTTCTTCTGTACTGGACTGTACAATACCCTCATCCCTCTCTTCTTCCAGATGGAGAAAGACGAGACAGTTGGAGAGTCCTCCCCACATATTGCCAACATCGGCCGCCTGGTGGAGGTGGGTAGAACTACACCTACTATATGCATGCCCTTATGCACACTCACTCACTGACATATACAGTTACACACACGCACATGTGCCTTTTTCTTAGGAGTGGCTTCCGTCTGGCCACTCTCCCATGAAGCCCAGATTGGTGAAGTGCTGTAGAGACTTGTTCTTCTGGCAGGTTCTCCCATCTCAGCCAAGGAACTCTGTAGTTCTGTCAGAGTGGTCATTGGGTTCTTGGTCACCTCCCTGACCAAGGTCCTTCTTGCCCTGTTGCTCAGTTTGGTCGAACGGCCACCTCTAGGCAGAGTCTGGGTAGTTTAATATTTTTTTGCATTTCCCAATGATGGAGCACATTTCACTGTGCTCTTGGAAACTTTCAAAACTCTAGAAATTGTTTTTTCCAAAACTCTAGAAATTGTTTTTTCCAAAACTCTAGAAATTGTTTTATAGCCTTCCCAAGATATATCACAATCTCAGAAATCGACGGACAGTTCCTTGGACTTCATGGTAAAGTTTCTGCTCTGACATGCACTGTCAACTGTGGGACCTTTATATAGAAAGGTGTTTATTTCTAAATCATGTCCAAACAATTGAATTGGCATCTCAAGGATGATCAAAAGAAATTGAGCTCAATTTGGAGTGTGAATACTTTAATTTTCAATAAATTAGCAACAAATCCTAAAAACATCTTTTCACTTTGTCGTTATGGGGTATTGTGTGCCGTTGGATAAAAAATAAAATAACATTTAATCAATTTTGAATTCAGGCTGTTACAACAAAATGTGGAATAGGTCAAGGAGTATAAAAACTTTCTGAAGGCATATTGATATGGATATCACAAGATTAGTGTTCTTATGTAAATGTATTTTCTAACCTCAGGATATGGAGAATAAGATTCGCTCCACTCTCAATGAGATCTACTTTGGGAAGACCAAGGACATCGTCAATGGCTTGAGGTACGTGAGCGCGGACAGACACACACACACTTGTCACATTGATATAAAGTCATTATATTCTGCTCCAGATTCTCCAAGTCTCAGCACACCTGACATCCTAATGGGGTCTTGTTGTCACCTACTGCATTTTCTGTTTGGCCTCTTTCACCCATACTCCTTTTTAACCTTGGCTACTACATCTCTATCTGTTGACTGGGATTTTTTCTAATTTTTCTCTGCCATATTGTGTTATCTGCTTCCCATGTCATTGTCTGTTTTTCAGTTCTACATTTTTCAAACCTGTTTATTCGCTTCCATTTCCCCTCTCCTCCTCCTTCCCCTGTCCTATCTCTACTCTATGCCCTCTTGTCCCTCATGTGTCTGTTTGTCTGCCTGTCCCTCTTCTTCTCCGTCTCTCTCCCTCTCTCCTCTCCCCCTCCTCCTGTCTCCTCTCCACTGTGCTCCAGATCTATTGACTCTTTGCCTGATAACCAAAAGTATCGGCAGCTCCAGAAGGAGCTGTCTCAGGTCCTCACCCAGCGCCAGATCTTCATTGACTAGGGCCAGAGGTATCGTCTGGCATGGGACAACAGGCTGTGTGTCTGTGGCGTTGGAGAAATATGTGTGTGTGCTGTTGCATGTGTGGCGTGGTTTTGTTTGTGTGGTGAATGAGTGCTTTCCCAGACAGTTGCAACCCCCTGACATTGTTTCTCAAGGAGCGTTTGTTGCAGCTAAGCCAGCCGTGCCAACATGCAGTTTGAGACAACCAACTGCATGAGGAAGAGTCCTAGAGGATAAACCTACCTGACTAAACATTTAATATTGATTGCACCTAGAAAGGCAGTGTCTGGAGTGTGTTAACCCAGCCATCTTCTCTCAACAGTGAGAGAGAGTTGGAGACCGTGTGATATCCTCACAACTTGTTGTTTAAAAATGAATTTGCTCTATATCTCTACCTATTTTCCCCCTCTATCTACCCATCTTATTTGCTTTCTCACAAATTCACTTTTACTACATCTATTAATTGTTGAGTTCCAAATCAACCCCTATTCCCTTGGCACTCCCGTATATCTGAAACTATTGGAATGTTTTATGGTACTTGTTTCACCTTAGCTTCTGTGAGGCTGAGTGAAACTTTTATCATATTGCTTAGATAATGTGCTTAGTGGGGTAGGTGTTACGGGTTGATTTGGAATCTAGTGTATATTTAATCTGTCTCACTCCCTCTCTTCCCTGACAGGAGTGTTCAGACCCTGGCTGACAAGTCAGGGCAAGAGGCTCTGAAGAACGACCTGATAAAGGCAATTCAACGCAAACAGCAAAGCTAGAGATGCTTTTTTGTTGTTGTCTCTCTCTCTCTGTCTGTTCCCCTCACACTCTCTCCACCTTACTCCCACCATCTTTTTTTCTGTTTCTGTTTGTATGTCTCTCCTTCCATCCCTGTATGCCTGTTTCAGTGCTGCACTCTTGTTCATTTATGGAAAAAACAAAAAGGAGAAAATGCTTAGCTTTTATTTTTACTCTTTGTTTCGAGGCATCTCATTCTCTATCAAGCCATTCACCTTCTCTCTCTCTCTCTCTCTCTCTCTCTCTCTCTCTCTCTCTCTCTCTCTCTCTCTCTCTCTCTCTCTCTCTCTCCTCTCTCTCTCTCTCTCTCTCTCTCTCTCTCTCTCTCTCTCTCTCTCTCTCTCTCTCTCTCTCTGAGTCGTGCTATGAATATTATGATAGTATTCTCAAGGTTAATGATAATTTTACAGTTTGACGGCAATGTTTATAATCCCTATAGCTCTGTCACAGCTGGGTCTGTTTTGAATGAGTGACATCGGCTCCTCTCCTATCCTCTGGTTAGGGGACTCTACTGTCATTCATTTCCACCAACATTTTCTTTCTTGTACCCATTATATCTATGTGTCTGTGCCACCACCTTATCTGTTTGGAAATATAACTGTCAATATAACTGTCATTTTTCTGGGTGATGTAGTGGCGGGAACGGAATGGGATGGCCCTAGATATTATATATTGTAAGGATTGGTCAATGGTTTGCCCTTCGTCCCACTCTTACCCGCATGCGATGTGAGTCTGGAAGCATTGGATCCTGGGATGGAGATGTAGACCTCTAAAACATGCGGATGGACTGTTAAATTCACTATGTATACCCATGTCATTAAGTCCCCCTCTTACACTGTGTATAACGTGACGATTTGCATACCTCTCTCTCTCTCTCTCTCTCTCTCTCTCTCTTTCTCCCTTTCACCCTGGTCTATGTTGGGTGTCACAGTTTGTATTTTTGCGTCTTGAAGGAAGCTTTTGACCGTTTCTGTTTTGGGGGGAATCTTTTTTGTTGTATTTTGTTTTTATTTTGTAAAGCTTATGATTCATATTGTATTAGAGCCTCCAGCAACAATAAAAACAGTAAAAAGCTATATTTACTTTTCTGCATCATGTCCATCACTCACAAGGTTGAAACCTTTTGCTCCAGAGTTGTTCTTGGGCTATCTAAAGATTATGATGAATTGATTAAACCAGTTGTATAGAGATAACCAATGGAAAAATGTTAGGTTACTGTGCTGTGACAGTGATGGTCAGCTTCAGCTTATTAATGACATCAGGATTACTGTAAAAGAGATCTGTGGACTTCTCTTGAAAGATGAGTTGTAGTCTAAACTCGTTTTGTCTCAATTGTTACCTAAATAGTTGGAAGTTAGATGTGATTAGTTGGTCTGATTGCGGTCTGCAGTAATGCACATGTACCAGCAGGTGGCAGGAAAGTAAAGTGAATGTACAGGTAACTACCAAAATAAAGGAAACACAAAACATAGTGTTTTAAGGCGTTGGGCCACCATGAGCCAGAGCCACTTCAATGCACATTAGCATAGATTCTACAAGTGTCTGGAACTATTGGAGGGATGCAACACCATTCTTCCACAATAAATTCCATCAGGCTATGTTCCAAGAATCTCCCATAATTATTGAACTGGTGACTGAGACGGCCATGGCATATGGTTTACATTGTTGTCATGCTCATCAAACCATTCAGTGACCGCTCGTTCCCTGTGGATTTTTTTTATTTCACCTTTATTTAACCAGGTAAGCCAGTTGAGAACAGGTTCTCATTTACAACTGCGACCTGGCCAAGATAAAGCAAAGCAGTGCGGTAAAAACAACACAGAGTTACATATGGGGTAAAAAACATAAAGTCAAAAATACAACAGAAAATATATATACAGTGTGTGCAAATGTAGCAAGTTATGGAGGTAAGGCAATAAATATGCTATAGTGCAAAATAATTACAATAGTATTAACACTGGAATGCTAGATGTGCAAGAGATTATGGGGGGTTATTGTCATCCTATGGGGGCAATAGCCATGGTTGTCAAAAATAATGGCCTTCCCAGCAATTTTATACATGACCCTAAGCATGATGGGATGTTAATTGCATAATTAACTCAGGAACCCCACCTGTGTGGAAGCACCTGCTTTCAATACACTTTGTATCCCTCATTTACTCAAGTGTTTCCATTATTTTGGCAGTTACCTAGATCACCCTCAGCAAAATACACTATTCTACACATTATTCTACACAGTAGCCTATTTACTCGCACAGCTGCTCAATACTTCCTAATGATTTTGTAAGAGGCACATAACAGACATATGGCATAATGCCTGTGTTTTTAATTAGGATGATGATTATGACGCCTTTGGCATGACCACTCTCCCACATGAGATACCATCATGTTTCCCAGAACTGGAGGTCTGCAGCATCTGCTGGGCAGCAGTGTCAAAAAGTATGTTTACATGAAACATTACAAGATATACCCCTGCTCACTGTCCTGTCATTTACTCCATTTAACCTCATATACAAGAAAAGCATTTCGATACCCAAAAAGGACTAGAGAATAACAGGAAATATTGCTTTTCATATAGGCCTGATGTGTAGTGTAAGGCCTGATGTGTAGTGTAATTTGACTACCCTATAAGGTAAGATAACTTTTGTACTAGACAGGTATGTATAGGCGTAGGGAAACAGTACATTTTCTGTGCCTGGGGTTGGGTAGGGGGGATGAGAACTGAAAGATCCTCACAAGTTTAACCTTATGTTGGTATTTCAATTGTGACCGCATTTGTTTAGGCTTATGAAAAAGTTTTTGCATTATAGGAACTCTTATTAATCCATGTACTGCTCCTTTGCAAAAACACTGTAAACGGCTAAATGTGTCTTCCACAAGGGGGACCAAACAGAGGCCGGTCATCTTTTTCTTTACAACTCAGTGTGGCCCCTGGGAGAACGGCCCTTGCTACTCTCGCTCTCTCCCCCCTTTCTCTTGCTCACTGAAATAGGTTTATGATAATGAGAAGGCTCAGGGGTAGTAGAAGCCATTTTATTCATTCACGCGGACAGAGTGGAGTTGTCGGTTCGGCGTGTTTGGATGGTGAGAAGCTTTGGCTAGGTGACCGCGATTTCTCTCCCGATTCAATTGGATTAGCTACTGTGGAGTAGTGAAATCATGGATACACTGCAACAAAAGGGAACGACTAGACGGAAAGTTTAAGGGAAGGCGGCAGTAATTACGTTAAAATCTGGTTTAACATTATCGAGGAGCAATGCCCCTCATTAAGTGGGATTTGTTGTTTATTATTTTCGTCTGGTTTGAAATAATTTCACTGTCGGATTGCTACAGTGTACACATCAGTGAGGATGCAGAGCTGGGAACGGTGATAGCAAGTGTGGAACAGAGCGGGGCATGCACTTTGGATCAGGTAATCGCTCCTAAATTCTCAAAGACCTTCATTGAAACTGATGCGTCTGCGCGCATTGTGTTCCTTTCGGGTAATTTAAATTGTGCCTCGCTTCGCTCCAACCCTTTCACCGTGTACACTGTTGTGGACTGCATGAACAGTGGCCCAGGGTCCAGGCACCTCCTCACGAGCCAGTATGATGTGCATGTTCACGGCAGGAACTGTTCAAGTAAACACAAAAGGAAATCTCAATGGGACTTGGAGATCATCAGTTTGTTTAAGGCACATAGTCATCAGTTAGAATGCTACGAGGCTGGTACTGCGCTCCTCCGGGTAGGGGATCTACTACCCGCATCCGCGACCCTCAGCAGTATGCACTGCAAGGTGACTAATAGTTCGGACTTCTACTTTTTGGAGGGGCAGTTGTTTGTGTCCAAGACCCTGTGTTTGAAGCATGACACACTCCTTGAGCTAGACTTACATTGTAACCAATACAAAGGAGATGAGAGGGAAGCTAAAGTGAACAGCATTTCAGTCCACTGGCGGGTGGGTCAAGGTTCTTTCAAACAGGGCCACTTGGGAAAGTTACTACAGCAGGCTGTCCAGTCTGAGTCGGGCATAGTGAGCAGGAGGAAGAGGGCTGTCAACAGTAGTCCCCAGTTTCAGCCTCCTATGTACCAGGTGTCTGTGGCAGAGAATAAGCCAGCTGGAACTCCTGTAGTTGTTTTGAAGGCAGTAGACGCTGATGAGGGGGAGGCAGGCAGGCTGGAGTACTTCATAGAGGCCCTGTTTGATAGTCGCTCTAACAATCTATTTTTTGTGGACCCAGTCAATGGAGCTGTCTCCACTGTGGAGGTGCTGGATAGAGAGCAGAAGGACACCCATGTGTTCCGTGTGAATGCTGTTGACCACGGCACGCCCCGCCGTACGGCCATGGCTACCCTCACCATCACAGTGAGTGACACTAATGACCATGACCCCGTCTTTGAGCAACAGGACTATAAGGAGAGTGTCAGGGAGAACCTAGAGATAGGCTATGAGGTGCTGACCGTAAGGGCCACGGACGGGGACGCCCCGGTAAATGGTAACATCCTCTACCATGTCCTCAACAGCAACGGCTCCAATGATGTGTTTGAGATTGACCCCAGGTCAGGGGTGATCCGCACAAAGGGCCCGGTGGATAGAGAGATGGTGGAGGCCTACATGCTGTTGGTAGAAGCCAACGACCAGGGTCGCGACCCCGGCCCCCGCAGCGCTACAGCAACAGTTTACATTATTGTGGAGGATGACAATGATAATGCGCCCCAGTTTAGTGAAAAGCGATATGTGGTGCAGGTTCCGGAGGATATGGCACCCAACACTGAGATTCTGCAGGTGACTGCCACAGACCAGGACAGAGGAAGTAACGCCATGGTTCACTTCAGCATCATGAGTGGCAACACCAGGGGCCAGTTTTACATTGACGCCCAGACAGGCAAGATGGACCTGGTCAGTCAGTTGGACTACGAGGCTAACAAGGAATACACCATTCGCATCCGTGCTCAGGACGGGGGACGCCCGCCGCTTTCCAACATCAGCGGCCTGGTAACAGTGCAGGTGGTGGATATCAATGATAACGCCCCCATTTTC